TGTCCCCCTGAAAGCAGGAAACAAATCTTCCCTATTCAAGGCACCCTCCCAGGAATGAGAAGTAAAAACCATCCTTATCACCAGAGGTAGGGACATGAGAGTTGACAAAGCTGTAGAAATAAGCCTTGCTACTTTTTTACGAATCTACTGCCTCAGCCCAAATTCCACTTAGAATGCCTTCCTAGGGCGCCTGGGTGGCTCAGTTGGTTAAGCGACTGCCTTTGGCTCAAGTCATGATCCTGGAGTCCAGGGATCGAGTCCCGCATCGGGCTCCCCGCTCAGCGGGGGTCTGCTTCTCCCTCTGACCCTCTTCCCTCTCGTGCTGTCTCTCATTCTCGCTCTCTCAAATAAATAAATATTAAAAAAAAAAGAATGCCTTCCTAACTAAAGCTCCCGAACACCTGTTTTCTTTATCCTGATAATTCCCCACACATTTCTTGTCTCTGTGTAAAAGGTATAAAAATTGCCTGCCTTGGTCATTTCTTTGGGTCTCAATTTCATTATTGGGCCTCCATGTGCAGGTAATAAATCTTTGGCTCTCCTGTTAACTCTGCTGGAAGGATCCTGGGGGGAGAAGGAAATGTGTCCCTCCCCAGAGCAAGTGTCCTGTCCCTAAGGCCACCTCAGGGACCCCATCCCCTGACCGCTCTGATCAGCAGTCATTCATCCTCATTTCTGCATTTACACAGAGCCTACCTTCCCAGCAAACCACATTTCCATACAGAGTGGTTCCCAGATTCTGCACAGCCAGGTCTGAAATACGCTACAGTACCACAATGATGAAAGAAAGCTCTCACCTGCATTATAAAACAAGCATTCAAAAATAAGTCACCTACAAAAGAAAGAGTTCACAGGAATCTATAATCTGTTCCTCCCTCCTCAGTGAGCCTGGACAAAGCAGAACTCTAGCAAAGAGTAACTGTGAAATGCACAGACTACAAGATACATGAGGGTCTTACAGGGGTGGCTCTATTCTGATTACTGACCTAGTAGTGATTTCAGCATGATGTCGAGGGTCTGGTTAGAACCAACACTCTACATACTGCAGATATGTTACCAAACGACAGTCCTAAAGCCAGAACAGGGTTACAAAGTTAGGGACACGTAATCTGAGAATCCCCCAAGCCTCTCTGTGCTGACTTGTACCACAGAAGAGATGGTAGGGAGATGGATTACATAGGTGATGGCAAACAAGGAGTATATCTGTGATGACAGAAGTGTTGAATCACTATACTGAACACTAGAAACTAATGTAACACTGTAGGTTAACTATATTGGAATTAAAATAAAAATTTAATTAAAAAAACTAAAATAAAATGAATAAGGTAATTTCAAAAAAATTTTTGACAAAAAAAGTATTGTGTTTCAAAACTAAGGGAAAACCTACTGAACGGGATAAGATATCTGCAAATGACATATCTGATCAAGAGTTAGTATCCAAAATACATAAATTTCTTATACATACAACACCCCCCAAAAATATTGTAAAAACTGTTCAAAAGACATAAACAGACATTTCTCCAAAAAAGACATACAGATACATGGAAAGATGCTCAACATCACTGATCATCCCTAATCACCTGAAACTAATTAACAATGTATATTAACTATACTTGAATTAAAATAAAAACTTAATTGGGGGGCCTAGGTGGTTCAGTAGGTTAAGCATCTGACTCTTGATATCATCTCAGGTCATGATCCCAGGGTCATGAGATCGAGGCCCGCATCAGGCTCAGTGGTGGGCATGGAGGAGAACCTGCTTAAGATGATCTCTTCCTTGAGAAGGGCATAAGGTATATTGGAGCAAATTATAGCAGAGAACTTCCTTCTCTGGGGAAGGAAACAGGCATCCAGGTGCAGAAGGCATAGAGAACCCCCCTCAAAATCAATAAAAATAGGTCAACACCACAACATATAATATTGAAACTTGCAAATCTCAGAGACAAAGAGAAAAATCCTAAAGGCAGCTCAGGAGAAAAGGTCTGTAATCTACAAGTATAGAAACATTAGACTGACAGCAGACCAGTCCACATGACCTGGAAGGCCAGAAAGGACTGGCATGATATGTTCAGTGTGATAAATGAGAAAAATATGCAGCCAAGAATACCTTATCCAGCAAGACTGTCATTCAGTACAGAAGGGGTGATAAAAAGCTTCCAGAAATAGAAACTAAAAGAATCTGTGATCACTAAACCAGCCCTACAAGAAATATTAAAAGGGATCTTCCAAGCAAAGGGAGAGACAAAAGTAACATGGAACAGAGACAATCTACAGAAACAGTGACTTTACATGTAATACAATGGCACTAAACTCATAATATTCAATAGTTACTCTGTCAATGGGCTAAATGTCCCAATCAAAAGACGTAGGGTATCAGATTGGATAAAAAAGCAGGACCCATCCTTATGCAGTCTGCAAGAGACTCATTTTAGACCCAAAGACAGCTCCAGATTTAAAGTGAGGGGATGGAAAACCATTTATCATGCTAATGGACATCAAAAGAAAGCTGGGGTAGCAATCCTTATGTAAGACAATTTAGATTTTAAATCAAAGACTGTAATAAGTGATGAGGAACGACACTATATCATACTTAGAGGGTCTATCCAACAAGATCTAACAATTTTAAATATCTATGCCCCTAACATGGGAGAAGCCAATTAATAACAAAATCAAGGAAACACATAGACAATAATACAATAATAGTAGTGTATTTTAACACCCCCCTCACTGACATGGACAGATCATCTAAGCAAAACATCAACAAGGAAATAAAGGCTTTAAATGACACACTGGACCAGATGGACTTCACAGACATATTCAGAACATTCCATCCCAAAGCAACAAAATACACATTCTTCTCTAATGCACATGGAACATTCTCCAGAATAGATCACATCCTGGGCCAAAAATCAGGTCTCAACCGGTACCAAAAGATTGGGATCATTCCCTGAATATTTTCAGACCACAATGCTTTGAAACTAGAACTCAATCACAAGAGGAAAATTGGAAAGAACTCAAATACATGGAGGCTAACGAGCATCCTACTAAAGAATGAATGGGTGAACCAGGAAATTAAAGAAGAATTTAAAAAAATTGGGGATAAACAGTATTACAAAACTGTTTTTCTACTGGCATACATGAAGTATTACTATGGTGTCAAGATATATCCCAGGTGTTGATTTCAAGTGGGAATATTATTATGTTGCTAGTGATACAGAGAGAACCTTACCGTGTGCATAATCTCCCCTGGCTGTCATTTCCAGCCTCCAAATGCTGTCTCTATACAAAGATCACTTGTCATAAGCATGACCAGCTCAGGGGGTTCAAGGCCCTGGGGGATGCTGGTTAGCTGTCAGGATAGGGAACAGTACATTTGTTATGCCTGTGTCCAGTCCAAGACACAAACACATTTACCTGCACTGGGCTACATGTTGGGAAAACCTACCAAAACTCAGAAATATTTCTTTGAAGATGGCATTGTCAAAGCTCCAAGCTCCATAGGACAATACACTGTTTGTGACAATACACATGTACAAAAACCCAGATCCACACCCCAAAACACATTTATGTGCAAACTGAGTCTGAGTTAAGATTTAAGAGATAAAATGTCAGATTCAATTGTTCTGGCTCGGATGTTCATATATATTACTCATAATTCAGAACTGTATGTCATTTTGTTCATAATGAGATGACTATTCGTAAAACTTAGACATATGGAGATATTTAATAATTAATGTATATTTTATTTTTTCTTTCAAATTTCTCCTGGCAAATCTGGTAAACTGCACAGAACATTGGATGTCCTGGGAAATAGATAATTTCCCATAGTTTTATAACCCCTGCATTCAAATTGTATGGGGCCTTTGGTAGATTTGAGATACAAAAGCACTGGTCAGTTGATATCTCAATCAAAGAACTATAAAATGGTATGAAGAGAGAATCTAAGTGTATATTACCCTTTGAAACCTTTCCTGTATTACTGCAGATAAAAAGTGTAGAATACAAAATAGGATATGACAATGTCCTCAAAAGTCATTTTTAACTAATGGGGTGGTTCACAAGCTCAAAATAACCAACTTGCAGACCTCACGTTAGTGCCTCTCTGGCTATGGCATAATTACAAAAAAGCACCACCTCTTGTGTTACCAGCTGATGCTTCCCATGTCTCCCTCCCCCTTCTGTAATATATAGGCTACATAAAAACACTGTCACACTGGCAATGTCACAGTACGGCCTGATTTCTAATGGCTTTGTCCGGATTGATGTTACCAAGTTTTTCTTTGACGTAAAAGTTTGTTTTACCAACAGTTGCCCACCTCCTTCTGCAAAAAAGCTGTGATTCAGTCAACCTATGAACCTTGTCATAGGGCCATGATCACAATGCAAGAATAAGTGAGATGCCTCCAAGAATTGCTAGAAAATCCTAAAACATGAATATTTCTTACACTATTTCAGTGGTTCATATTCTTATTTTTCCTATGCCTTTATGGTATGAGTGTAAAGATCTTCTTGCAAGGAGAAAGGGAGAAGTATTCCCAATGGGGGGGTAGAAATAAGAAAAACCTGGGGAGCTTTTTATAATAATGATTCATATGCTCTAGGAACACAATATCAGCATCTCTGGAGGCTGCATGAACCATGGACATAGATTTTGAAAACTCACTTGCATAAAAGAATCAGGTAAGGAAATTCCCTTGAGTTGTCAAGAAAAATTTTGGATGACACAGGGAGGGCACAAAAATTTTAATGGCTCTGGCACAGAAAGTCTTCCATCAAAGGGTCTTCCCATGGGATGCCTGGGTAGCTCAGTCAGTTAATTGTCCAACTCTTGATTTTGGCTCAGGTCACGATCTCAGGGTCATGGGATCGAGCCCCACGTTGAGCTCTGTGCTCATCACGGAGTTTGCTTGTCCCTCTCTGTCTATACCTCCCCCCATTCTCTCTCTCTCTCTAAAATAAATAAAAACTTTAAAACGGGGGGGGGGGTCTTCTCCACCCAGTCATGTACAGTCATGGCCCCTCCAAAGCACCTTCTTCATTGCTCCCGTTACATCCTTATTCTTCAGCGTATATATGACGGGGTTGACCATGGGGGTGATGATGGTGTAGAACAGAGAAATGAACTTGCCCTGATCCTGGGAGTGGTTGTTGCTGGGCTGGAGGTAAGCGTAGATGGCCGTGCCATAGAACAGGGAGACCACTGTGATATGGGACCCACATGTCCCAAACGCTTTCCTCTGCCCTGTAGATGACTTTATTCTTAAGACTGCCCTGACAATCTGACCATAGGAAACTGTGATTAATGCCACAGGAATGAAAAGAAAGATCACGCTGACGAAGAACATCTCAGACTCATACACAGTGGTGTCAACACAGGCAAGCTTGAGCAGTGGGGGGACCTCACAAAAGAAGTGATCTAGTTTATTTCTCCCACAAAGTGGGACAAGGAAGATGAGCACTGTCTGCAAGGAGGAATTGGCAAAACCAAGAGACCATGATGCAGAAGCCATGAGGGTACAGAGACGGGGGTGCATGATCACTGT